CACTCGGCCGCAAGGCACTGCGCTGTCTCGTCGCAAGCAGGGCAGCCAGGCGCCCTGCCCAGTCGGGCGAGGATCACCCAGGCCAGGTACCTCGGCCGCAGGACGGGCCCCACCGCCAGGAAGGTCGCCCTCGGGTCGAAGGAGGCGCGCGCGATCTGGCCGAAGAAGTGATTGCCCCATCTCTTCTCGTCGGGTCTCCGCGCAATAGAGCGCGAGCAGACCCTGCCCCTGGGCGCGCCGATCACGCGCTCGTCGCTGACGTTAGCCTGGCCTCGCCTGATCCAATTGCCCCGCCCGGCCTCCATCCTGCCCGCCGCTCCAGCAGGCAACTTCTGCATCACGGCCTCCGCGAACTCAGCGATCTGGCCGTGGTAGCCTTTACCCCTGAGCCGACGATATGGCGTCAAGCCGTCTTCCCCCGCGGTAACCCTCGCGAGAATCCGGCCGGCGCATCTCGCCAGCCAGGTGCAGACGGGGTCGCCGGGATTCAGCTCGACCTTGTAGCGCGCGCTGGCACGCACACCAAGGTGCGGACGAGCCGCTGCACCCTGCCGCCCGCTGCCTCGACCCGCCCCTTCGACTTGGAGCCCAGCCTCGGGCCGACCTGCACGACGGCCTCCTCGCCGCGCACTGCGGCGACGGCTCCGCCCAGCGCCGAGATGGCTTTCTCCCGGTCGCGCGACATCACCACGCGCGTGCGGCCCCAGGACAGGGGGGCTTGCACTAGAACCTTGATGGCGTAATCAACCGCGCCCTTCTCCATCATGCCGGCGCTCTCAACCGCCGTCGACTCGAGGTCCAAGCACGCAAGCAGGGCCATCGCGTCGTCGCCGCCACGCATGCCTGGGAACCAGTAGTCAGTCCAGACCTGCGGCGCGTCGCGCCCCTGATCTGCCCGCGGCGCACCCCCCCCGGCCTCCACCTACCACGCATGCCTTGCACCGCGATCGGCAGGGCCAATGAAAGAGTCTGCGTAGCTGTCTCTCGGCCAATGGCGGCACGCCTGGCACTCCTTTAGCCTGCGCAGCTCGGCCTTCAGGACTGTCGCGCAACTCGATCGCATCCCTGCGCTTCGCGACGATCTCCCGGCGGCCTCTCCAGCGCCGACCTTGCCACCGCCGCTGCCGATGCGGATGAGTTCGCCGCCCCTCCCCTAGCTGCCTCCTGGACTGCGCCTTCAGCTTCGCCAGGGTCGCGCCCTCCTCGATAGACGGGCAACGGGCGCACCGTAGCTGGCTGCCTGAGCGGCGCGACCGCGATCGCGAACTCGCTAGCCGCGACCGCGCGATTCACCTGCAGGCACCAGATGCGGCCCTGCAAGGTCAGCGGGAACAGCCCCACACCGGGCGCCCCCAGCACGCCCGCATGGACGCCGCACCTCGGCACAAAGCCTGCCTCCAGCAAGCCCTGCTACGCGACGATCGGGCACTTCGCGCTCGTCGCCTGGAACCTGAACATCACGATCTCGCGCCGCCAGCTCGTCGCCTTCACGGGGAAGCTGACTTTGCGGGCGCCGTCGCGCATGATCTCCTGGCCAGTGGCCACCTCCAACGGCGGTTGCTTCTTGGGCTCGGCCCGCCAACCTGAGCCCGCCGGCCGTTTCTCCACAGGATGGCGGGCACGTAGTGATGCCAGCCCCGCCGTCGATCATCAGGTAATCGTCATCGTCATTCACGCGGGAGCCGTCGCTGGCCCATGCCAGCATGCTGGTGTAGACGATCTCCTCCTCGTCCGCGCCTGGCCACGGGCACGTTGCGCCCCTTGTCTTGCGCTGCTCCAACTGCATCGCTGCCGTCGCCGTCGGGGGCGCTGAAGTCGGAACCGCCCCACCTGCGGACTGCGCCAGGCGCCTCGCCATGTCCTGGCGGTGCTGGGCCAGCATCGAGACGGGAATGGCGTTCACCATCGAGGCAAAGTCGTTCGGGCCACGAGTTCGCAGCGCGCTCTGTGCACCTGGGCCTGTCGCCGCGGCAATGCGAGGGCAGTGCTCACGATTGCAAAATAAGAGCGTTCGTATCGCGATGCTGCTGAGCTATCCGCTGGTCGCACCTGCGCTTCTGCCTGCGCGTCTCCGTCGGGCGGCCTGCGATCTTGCGCCTCTCGCGCCACTTACCCTCGTCGCTCCGGGCCTTCCCTTTGTCATCCTTGCCTTTGCCGCCTTCAGCCTTGCCATGGTCGCACGCGCCTTTACCTTCGCCGTCTTGCCCCTTGCCATCTCGCGACTTGCCCCCCGCGCGCCAAAGGCGAACTGCGTCGACGCCCATCGGCTTGACCCGGCCGTCATTTCGGCGTCACACCCGCTGATTCACGACGTAGTCCACGACCTCCTTGCAGACGCAGCGGCTCCGAGCTCGCCCTTTGGAGTTCGCGTCAAATGAGACTTCAGAACTTCACCCCCCCGCCCCCGGGCCAGCGCGTTCGCCCCCATGCCTTCTGGCAAGACGCCCTCTGATTGCTACTCGCGCTCTGCAACTACTCGCCCCCGCGCCCCGTCAGCTTCACGGCGGCTCGCTTCCGCCTTGAAGGTCGCACTCAGCGGCTGGTTCAGCAGCGCGGCCTGACGCCCACGAACTCTCGGCAAGTGCCCCACGACGAGTTGCCTCCACGCCTCGAAGCCATTCGACGACTTGCTATCCTTTATCAGATTGAGCCCTCGAGACTTCATTGTCGCGCTAACCGTCAGCAAATGAAACAAAGCCCGCGATTTCTCGTCGCCCCCGACCTCCTCGTCGGCAAACGATTGCCCATGACTACCTCCTCGCCCGACGTGGCCGACGCGCCCATCAGCTCGATTGCGCGCTCATCCTGGGAGGCCACGAAGTCCTGAAATAGGAAGCACCAGTCGGACCACGACTCTTGCTAGCCGTCAAACCTGTCGGGGCCCGCATCCCGTTGCAGCCGATCTGCTCGCTCTCTGGCGCCTCGCGCCTCGCGCATCAGCTCTGCGTCGTTGCTCTCCAACTGCTCGGTCCGACGCGGCATCTCCTCGGGGGTCGCCATCGCGCGCCCGACCTCGCTGTTTCACCCCTTGCAAGTCTGGCCGAGTCAGCGCCAGAAACCCCGCGAGCTATTCTGAACGATGAAGCCTTTTTTTTTCACAATGCGCTTTTAGTTATTCTCGGCGTCCGCAATCACAACGAACCAAGTGCAGCCCTCCTCGTCGGCCTGGAAGCCCGCGCCCGCGGCGCTCGCAGCGCCGCAACTCCGCGCCATCATCCGAGCGCCCAAAACGGGCGACAGCGAGCGAAGGCTCCAAGGATTAGACGCGGCACCCCTGTATTCTCGAGCCTGCGAAAGGGGCTACGATCAACATAAATACGAAGGCGCGAAGATGTCTCGCGCGCGAGGCGCCAGGAATTAAACCCGTACGCGACCGAGAAAAAAAAGGGCCCAGCGCACCACGCCCGAAACTTGCCCGAGGCGGCGCCGAAGCCCAGGCGCTCCGCCGAGCGCGCCCAGAATCGCACTTCACCGTTCGCCAACCCGTGATCCAAAACTGCGGGGCGTCGATCCTTCCCGTCCAAGCGCGCCCCCGTCGAAGCTGCTTGCACATACATGTTGTCGGCCCAGACGAAGGAAGCGAGTCTCTGCAAGCCGCCAAAATCTGAGCCAAACTGGCTTGATTTCCGCCAACCAACCAGATCTCCCAAATATGCTTCAACAATGACATCCCGCTCGCCTGGAATTTCTTCGCCACCTTGTTTCCCGCCGCATGAGCATCGGAGACGTCGCGTCGACGCAGCCGCGGGGGCTGCAGATGACGCTGTAATGTCAGATACCCCACGCATCAAACAACACACACGCGCTCTGGACGATGTCCACTCACAATTTGGCTGCCATGAGCTCGCGCTCAACGCAAGCGAAAGCTGCGGCGACATCCAAAGCCGCCACATGCGGCATCATGCTCGCAACGCCCGCGCAATTCAAGCCAGGTCTGAAAGCCGCAGTTACAGACATTCGTCGTTCCAGGAGTTGCGGGCCAAATCCATTGTACCAAACTGCCGCCGCACCAATTCCAGAAACAATCCACGCTCGAAATCCACCGATACCTGTCGTAAAGATAAGCCCGCGGCTCCGTGGGGAGACCTGTGCAATCGGTCATTTCCCATTCTGGAGGGTCCTCTGACTGAATGCGCGCCAAGCAACCTCCACGCGTGAACGAGCAACGTGAACGGGAGATGTTTGAAAACCTCAGGCGGGCAGCCATTCAGAAGAGGTGTCGTGGCGAATGTCATCCTTGCACGCCCCTGCAAAACGCGCGCGAATGATGTTCGATCCGGCTTGATGCCATCAAAAACGCACTTGCGACCTGCACTTGACAACGTCTCCGACCGGTTCCTCTGCGCAGCGATGTCGTTTTCTAAACCCTGAAGCCGGCGCGCTCCAAAACGATCCGCCCCCCGAGCCTACTCGGGCCGATCGCGCGCCAGGACGCCGTTCAGCTGCAAATGCATCGGCACTCTGCGGGGGGCAGCGGCAGATCGAACACGCGTCAGCGTGCAGTTGTTCCTTTCCCTTTCTAACCTTGCGTTGAACTCGCTGGAAATACTGCACTGCTGATATGGGTTCAAAAGCACGACGCGAAAGCGCGCGCTCCACGAGCGCCCTTGGCCTGCAGGCCCAAACGGCGGCGATGTGCAAGACGCGAATCCAAGTCCCCCAATGAAGCCGCGGATAATTCAACGCATTGTTTCTGGAACGTCTCCTCGTCGGCCTCCGTGGCAGGCGCCCAATCCCGTCAACGATCCCGTCGCCTTTCGCCCCGCTGGAGCGGGGGTCATCAGCGAAGCGCAGCAATCAATGGTCGATGATCAAATCCACGGAATAATTCGATGAAGAACGTGCATCCGTGCTGTGCCTGAGACCGTCGGGGTAAAAGCAATAAAATCGATCTGGGCGCGCTTGTCCATCGCTCCTCGCGCACCGCATGTCAACAATCCCTCTTGAGGCAGCTACCTCTCTTTGATATTGGAATGTGTTCAAGGCACGCACATCCGAAGCCTCGAACCAAGCAGCGATCATACTTGCCAATATCGGTGTGTGCGCCTTGGCGTTGAGTAAGACGCATTCCCCTGCGACTCCAGAACAGAATGTGAGCGGTAAGTAAGATAACGCTCCCAACAACACAACAAGACTTGTAACTGCGATGGACAACACGACGGATAGCGGGCATCGAACATCTAAGAAGTAGGAAGCCACAGCCCCACCCTTCTCTACTCAGTGTGACGTGCTGGTGATACACGTACCCATTTCTAGACCCCATGCTCGGATGTCCTGAGGAAGCGCCAAACAAATCCCTAGCTTGTGAGCGCATTTCCCCGACGACTTTCGCAACAAAAGAGCTCCCCTTTCTGCAAATATTCAGCTTGCTATGGGGAAACAGTCGATGTTGATCGTGGTCCCCGTGCTCCCTCACTGGCGAAAGCCAGCGAAAGCATTTTGGATCGCCGAAACCGTGTCGGCAAACTCCTGCAAACATCCCTCCGCATCACACTGGATGACTCCCGTGTCCACCACCTCCCCGACCTTGATGATCGCGTCGCCGCGCTTGACCGTGAGCACCCAGTCTGGGTCCCACGAACACTTCGCTACGCCACCCTGCCCCTGCAACTCGGATTGTATATAGTGGTCCGAGCCTTGCCTCCAGCTGCCAAAAGCCGATGCACCTTCGGATGCCGCTGCACAGTCGTGTGGAGCTCCCGGTCGTTGAACTAGCGCCTCGGATCCTTCAAAAGCTCCCTGTAGAAGGAGGACACGTCGTCGGCGAAGCCACCGTCGACCAGAATTTTGAACGTGTGGGCCGTATGCCTCGAAGGTGGACGGTCTTGACATATTCCTGTTCCCTCCTGGCCCTCCTGTCCCTCGAAGGTGAACGATCTTGACATCTTACTGTCATTCCTGTCCCCTCCTGCCCCTTCACTCCCCCTCTCGTAGTGACCAGTCGGGTGTCGATCGCTCAGCCGCTATTACTTTCGCCCGGGTGAATGCCATGACAAGCCCGATGAGCAGCAGACAAATGGCTGAGAATCAATTAGGTTGCTCAATGACTGGAGCGGAGCTACTTAAATTGAAGACCGCTATTACTCCCCATGTAAAAGTAACAGCGCGTTTCTTCATGTTCGGCGATGACGGGCGTCATGGGGGGGGGAGGGCGAGGGGGGTATGACGTGACGCCCCCCCCCGCCGAGTGGCTCCGGCACCGCAGCCGCGCCCGCGCGCACGACGCGACGAGCGACGAGCGACGAGCGACGACGACGACGCGAGCAGCATGTAAGTGGCGATCTGCCCATTGCGCTTGTGTACACCACAACGTTCGCGTGCACCACACCGCGCGTGTGCACCACAGCGCCTGCGTACACCGCAAAAGCCGTGTGCAACGCACCGCCCGCGTATACCACAATACTTGGGAGCACTCCAGCGCCGGTGTACATACACCGCAGCAGCCATGTGCAACACAACGCCTGTGTACACCCACAGTGCTTGCGTGCACCGCAGCGCCTGTGCACGACACAGCGCCTGTCTACAACACAGCATCCGCGTGTAACGCAGCGCTGGTGTACACCAGCGCCTGCGTGCACAGGACAGGTAGAAGGAGCATGTACGTCAGGATTTGCTGCGGACAACTAAGCGCCACGCCAGGAAAGTTCTGAGAATCGAATGCGACGTGTTTCCCTCCTCCCTCCTCCTCCACCTCGTTTCCTCCTCCTCCTCCTCCTCCTCCTCCTCCTCCTCCTCCTCCTCCTCCTCCTCCTCCTCCTCCTCCTCCTCCTCCTCCTCCTCCTCCTCCTCCTCCTCCTCCTCCTCCTCCTCCTCCTCCTCCTCCTCTCCTACCCCCTGTCGTGCGGCTTGGCGTTACAACGCACGTACGCATCTCAGCGTGCACCGCAGAATGGTCGATTGAATCGGTCCATTTGGTTCTCGGACGGCCAGTTTAGCTGGAGCCTCCTGGACGCAAATGGGAGTCAAGGTGATGCGGGCGGAGTCGGGGGGACTCGTAGATTCCAGCGGCGCTCCTTTGTCCATGATGATGTGTTTTCCATTGTTTCGTATGGAATCCACACGCGTTCCATTTTGTCACAAGGATCCCTTCTGAAATCCGATACACAACAATGGTGCTGTGTTGCACACGGCTGATGTGGTGCACACAGGCGCCGTGGCGTACACAGGCACTGCAATGCACGCAGGCATTGTGGTGTACACTGGTGCTGTGTTTCGCACGGCTGATGTGGGGCACGGAGGCGCTGTGGTGTACGCAGGAGCTGCTGTGCCCGCAGGCACGGTGGCACAAACTGACGCTGCGTTGCACGCGGCTGCTGTGGTGTACATCGGCGGTATGGTGTACACAGGCGCTGCGGTGCACGCGGGCACTGTGATGTACACAGGCGTTGTGCTGCATATCGCCACCTACATGTTCGTGCTACCCGTCCTCCGCCATTCCTAAACATTCCCAGACGCCGCCGGCGCGAAACGTGACGTCATCGACCGCCTCCCCCACCAGATGATTGTCGTCATCGGCCGGGACTCAAAAACATGCTCCGGCCGCGTCCGCGCGCACGACGACGATGAACGACGAGCGACGAACCACGAGCGACGACGACGGACGACGGACGACGACGACGACGACGACGACGACGACGACGACGACGACGACGACGACGACGACGACGACGACGACGCCTGCGGACCAGACACCTATGCGGATTCCTACGCGGACACCTACGCGGATCCCAATGCGCACGGCGGCAGTGCCCGGAGCGCACTGGGGGGGGAGCGCTACGTCATGGGGGGGGGGAGCGGGGGCCATGACGCCCGTCATGCCCCAAGCAATAAAGAAACGGCCTCGAATGTTAGCATGTCAGCCATCGAATACTATTGTGTAAGCTATGTGGTGCGAGCTGGAGTTCTGTACGTCACGTGGTGTGATACGGGATCGTGTGAGACGGAGTTGCGTAAGCTTTGTAAGTTGAACTGGCGTTGAAAGCTATGCGTCGTACGCTATATGGTGTAATCCATGTGGTGTAAGCTATGCGGGGTGAGCAAGTGTGGTGTAAGTCATGTTGTCTATGCCACGCGCACACGAGTCGGCTACTAGCGGGCAAAAGTGCGCGAACATGGCAGACCCTCGAACAACACACCCAGCGCCTGGGGCGCCCACGAGGCGCCCACGAGGGGGCACGGGCACGGGCGTGGCGAAACATCGGCTGGCCCACTCGGCACACAGGGCGCCCACGAGCGGGCATCGGCGCGAACGTGGCGAATCCTCGGCCGACTCACCCACCGCACGGGACGCCAACGAGGCGCCCACGAGCGGGCACGGGCGCGGGCGTGGCGAAATATCGGCTGACCCGCCCAAGCACTCAGAAACAGTGAGTTGGTGTACAGCGGAGGTGGACAGCTTGGGTTGTGTAAACTATGTGGTGTGAGCTGGAGGTGGGAACTGTGCGATGTAAGCTATGTACTGTGGAAACTATGCGATTCAAGCTATGTGCTGTAAGCTAACAGTGTGAGCTGGAGTTGTGTCACCCACGTGGTCTAAGCTATGAGGTGAAAGCTGTACGGGCGCCAAGGTGGCGAGACCTCGGCCGGCGCACACTGCACGGTGCGCCCACCAGGCGCCCACGAGCGGGCACATAAGTGCGAACGCGGCGGAATGCGGCGAAACCCCGGCCGACTCACCCACAGCACTGGGCGCCAACGAGGTGCCCACGAGCGGACAAGGGCGCGGACGTGGCGAAACATCGGCCGACCCGTCCGTCGAATTACCTAGAGGCACACTCGCCAACCCCCATGTAAGTGTGAACACTGTTTGGGAAACAATGAAACGCCCCAAGTGTAAAGATTTGAAAATATGTAGTACTGTTGGACCTCATACGTGTTCCACCACCCCTCGCCTTTGGTCCCTGCCCTGGCCCTGTGGAAGTTTTCGTACCTGCTTCGGAATCCCTTTGTAACCTGAACTATTAAAAGCATCGGCTAGCACTGTGGACGCAGAAAGGATGCAAACTGAGCTCTATTGCAACGCTCTTCGATCCCAAGGCTTCCACTCCTGCCCTAACTCTCAAACCTTTGCCAAAGCCATCTGGGCACCACAATGTTAGCCCTCGCGAGTCGTAAACGTGTGGCAGTCCCATGGGACGCACCATCCGTCCAGAGGGCCCTCACCATGGTGAACACATGCAGCTTGATCAATGTATGAAAGAGTGGATTGAAGACAGGAAGCTCTTATTGCAGCTTCAGTGATGCGAAGCGGTCGTACACTGGAGCCCTCGTCCTCCTCATCGTCCTCTGTATCCTCCTGGTCCGCATAATCATCCTCACCATCCTTCCTCTTCCTCACCCCATCCCCATCCTCTCACGGTGGAGCTCCCTATGGGGCTACGAACCGCTGCCCTGGGTGGGGGAACCGCATGCGGGCACCCCCACTGCGGCCTACTGTGGAGCTCCCGATGGGGCCACGAAACGCTGCCCTGGGTGGGGGAACCGCATGCGGGCACCCCCACTGGGGCCTTCGGTGGAGCTCCCTATGGGGCTACGAAACGCTGCCCTGGGTGGGGGAACCGCATGCGGGCACCCCCACTGGGGCCTTCGGTGGAGCTCCCTATGGGGCCACGAAACGCTGCCCTGAGTGGGGGAACCGCATGCGGGCACCCCCACTATCACTTCCGTTTTGGTATACACTCCGGTTCTATCACCTAGCTGGCCGATGGCAAACGGATCTGGGTGATCCTATCCGACCTGTCAAAAAATCATTGCGTGTTGTCTCGACATGGGCGTTCTGCCGTCGACGCGGAAAAGTGCACTGGGGGAATGGGGTGCGGCGAACATCCCGCACGAAAGGCCGAAAGGTCGTTATCGCCTCGGCGCCACTTCAATCGGCGGTGGACAAACCTCCCCTTAGTAAACCTCCCCTTAGCGGAAACGGCCTGGGACCGAAACCGACGGACCTGGACCCGCAAAATGACGGCCGCAACGCCCTCTCGCGACCCGAAAACGGCCAATTCCTTAATCGACGTGTCAGGGTATGAGGTCTGTCCACCCCCGACCACTCCTATCTTCTAGTGTGTTGGGTTCCTGCCTGGGCGCGGCGCACATTGTTCGCGCGCAATTTCGCCGACGCGCGAGCGGTCGAAAATGGCGGTCTCGCCTCAGCGCCGCGCAACTTTCGCCTGAAAAGAACATTCCCGCGTCGACGCGGCGCAGATTCATCGTTCGCAAACTTTGGGGGGGTCGCCCAACCCTGTCGCCCTGGCCCATGTTCCGTGCGCACATCGCTCGGAAGTAGCATTTCCGCGCGGGCGTGGCGCGTGGTTCGCTCACCGAATCGCATGGAAGCGACAGCGGCAGCGGGGCCGCGCGAGAGCGAGAGACATGCCGACCTCCCCCAAACGCCGCGCAGCTTGTGACTGAAAGTTGCAGTGCTATGTCAGCGCGGCGCATGTTTCGTCTTCGCAGCGCCCATCGGAAATGTGTTGCTCCCGCCATTGCGCGGCCCGCGTATGTTTCCCTTCGCACGGCGTAGGAAGCGGGATCGCGCGCGAGCGCCTTCCGTTTGCGAGGTGGGACGCGCTCCAATCCAAATACTAAGTCGATTAATCGTGCCACGAATGATCCTACTGTTGTGGGAGGGAGGGTGGGCATAGGCGAAACCCTCAGACTCACTCGACTTCAGTAACTTGGCTTCCTCTCCTATTCCCCCATGATGCCCTTCTTCGTAAACCTCCATGCCTTGCGGCACCACCTGGATGGAGGCTGATGTTGCCCAGCTCACGGTCCCCGTCCATGAGGCCCGGCCCTCGGGCTAACAAGGCCCACGGGCTCGCCCAAGACGGAGTTGCTTGCGCCGAACTGCTGCGGGTAGTACAAGATACGAGGAGGGTGTTGCGCTTGGGCGGCGAGAAAATCACAGGTTGGAGAAGGGCGGGCGGCAGCAGCAGCAGCCGCCACAGCTTCATGTGCAACGGCTGCGGCAGTAGCAGGGGCATTGGGATTAATCCGAAAGCCCATGTCAGGGCGCAATGGCTTCGGTTCAATGCAGTCCCTGGGGACTGTTTGGGACACTTTTGGGGGGGGCTTCACAACGGGAAAGGCCCTTTTCGCCCGAGGCCCTC